ATGTACACTGCCTGTTGCTGGATGCCCTAGTAAGATAGGTGAGTAGTGAGCATAGTTTCTAGATACGACTCTGTGGGGACCCAGGAAACCTTGATTACACTATTCTTTTCACCAAGCAAAGAGTGCTTGATAAGACTCAACAGGACATTAGTGGTGCTGAGGAGACCAAACAGACTGTAGTCATTAACTGTCTTCCATGATAAAACCTTAATATAAGAATGTACAATAAAATGTCATTTTACAAAATGATGGATCTACTTTAATGCAATTTTACCTAGTATAAGAGTCTATTATAAACTATGGTTTATATTAGAGCCTTAAATATCATTTCTTTATCTTGATACAAATATCAATGACACACTAATGGTACCAATAATTAAAAAGGCAACAGGTTACATTTTCCCTCTACTGTACTGTACTTTGTATCCTTAAAGTTATGGTGTATTATCATAATTTATTATATAAATTACAGTGGTTAGGCATACTTCAGCTATTGCAATTGTCAACCTTGCACATTTGTGGGCTGGAATACTGATGATAGTTCAGAGCAAGAACATGGAAAGGGAAAACTGTTTATCACTGATTAGCTTACTTTGTACCCTTACTATAGATACTAACTAATTTATTTTCTTAACAATTATATATATTTTGTCTAACTTAATTTGAAACAAACTTGAAATTCAATAAGCCCAATTAAATATATTAAATAAGTGTGTGATTAGAAAATAACTATATTACAGTACTGCATTCCAGTATTCAGACTGCATTAGTGTGAACATCTGGTACATTCATCAACTGTACTTGAGGTCGATCTCGAACCCATTGTTGATGTGACAACTTGTATTGAATTTTGTAACTAGCTCATCAAGATTGTAACTTGCTTAGCTAAATGAATTGTGGGGTTCAGTCCCTGAGCCCATTATGTGCCGCTGTAACCCTTTCCACTACCGCCCACAAGATGGGTATGGGGTGCATAATAAATGAACTAAACTAACTAACTACCAGCAAGATCAGATGTTTTCTCTAGACAATATGAAATATTCTTATACTAAACTTACTGCTAAAAGCTCACTTTTTTACGGACAGACAATGCATTAAATATAAAGTTTCACCAGAATCACCATTTTAATGGCTTACACTTATCTGCAAGAAGGTACAATTATATACCTATTTAATTAAATATTGTCTAGTTTCCCATGAGGTTTCTAGAAGTCTATATCACAGAACTCTGCAATAATTACAATTAGGAATGGTCTACACAGTTATAAAATCTATTATGTATCACATATTTCTTTGATGACAACTGTGTACTCTTTTTTTTTTTTAGATTTCGTTCTACTATAAAGTAGAATGAACTTTGAAAACAAATTATACCTAAATTATTGTGAAAATAAAAAAAAAATTATCTAATTAAATTGCACAAGGAAGTAGGTTATTTGACTACAGTTCTATTCTTGGTAAAATGTTGAATAAATCGTCGTTTGTCCAATATTTTTTGAAGCATTTGTCAGGCACATGGTTTGATTCGGAAACATGACATAATGGTCTTTAGTTATGTTTTAGAACAAAAAATTGCAAAACTTGATTGAGAAAATCCTATTTAGGTAAAATGGTACAATACAGTACAGTACTGTATATTCAACTATCTATTAATACTTTGATATTATTGCACTAGCAAGGATTCTTCAACATTTAAGGAAGTGGGAGCTCAAGTACTCAACCAAGTGCCTGTGTATCATCATAAAGTGTTTATTGTATCTAAAAATTGTATTATTGTATTGTATATCTATATCTAGCTATTGAATCTAAAAAAGAATTTAAATTAGTGAATGAAATGAGTCTTTATGTAAGATTATATGCAGGAGAGACAGACGAGTGTAATAGAGAAGATAAAATGGCATTAGATGCAAGAGTACGAGGGCACAAAGAAAGAAATGAGATACAAGTGAGAATGGGAGAAGCTTGGGAGAAGAGATGAAAAAGTACTGTACATATACTAATGAAAAGTAAAGAACAAATATATACATAATTAAATTTACATGAAGAGATTGGAGGATGGAATGACCCATTTCTTACCTCTTATACCTGGATGTTTATAATTATTAATATTATTATTTTTTTACAGTACACATTGGAAAAAAATTAGTTAAATAATTAAAAGGGGAAAATAATAGTGAGCACGATATGAAATAAGAATAGGTAAAGTAACAGGTACAAGTAATAGCCAGTACAATATTGGGAAAACTCTTCTTATTCCTGTAACAGACTTGTAGTGTTGGTGTTAATAAAACACCGTGTAGTCTGCTTGATGAATTTATATGTTTATGGGTAGTAGTACTGGTACTGTAGTTTCTAAAACTATATTTTTACATGTGGGATAAAACTTTGGATTCCTGAATATCATTAATAAATTAAATACATTGTACAATAAACTAACACAAAGAAACTTAATCCTGAAATTTAATGAATTACAATCCAGAATGAATTTAAAGTGGGCAGTAAAGTCAAACTCAAGAACAGAGCAACTTAGTTGAATTTGATGCCAAAACTATTACTGATCACATTATCAGAATCAAAGTAATGCTTTTGATAGAAGTTCTTGAAACAAGGCATTAACAACACATTAACAAATTCCCATGTGGAATTAATGATTAGATAATGGTGAACACCATAATATAAAAAATGATAAATTGAAAGAAGGCAATATAGTTTCATGAAATCCACACAATGACAAAGTTAAAGAAAGATTTACCATATTATTTTATTAATTTGTTGTTAAATTTGAAGTTATTAAGCAGCCATTAATTACTAAGTTCATAGAATTGAAACTGAAAAAAGTGACTGAGTTTTTCTCATAACAGTAGGTTATTTCAACGTCTCATCACCTTATGGAATACAGTATATAATTTTCTCCAATTTTTGCCATAGCTGAGTATATACAGTATTCTACTTCTACAGAGTACAGTAACAAATCACTTGAACTCCAAACCTTTCCTGATATTCTAAAAAAAAGCAAGAGTAACCCTAGTCCATAAATGTGGTGATCTCATTGATGTCAACAATTTCAGACCTATATCAATTCTGCCAACCCTGTGTAAAATATCTAAAGAGCTAATCTACAAGCAGTGTTACTCTTATCTAGCATAACACAATATACTTAGCTCTTGCCAATATGGCTTCAGACCCCCAAAAAGCACCAATGATGCACTGATTAGTATGATTAACATTTAATGACCTTCCAAATGCCTCTCAACGTCTCAACCCTAATTATTTGCTGATGACACAACCTTCATTTTCTCCAGTCCTAATCCTCTTATTCTGAATAACACAGTGAATACTGAATTAAACAAAGTCCATCTTTGGCTAACTGCTAACAAACTCACCCTTAACATTTGACAAAACCTTCTATATTTTGTTTGGTAATAAATCCTCAGATCAAATAAATCTCAGAACTAACAATATCCACATTAGTAACAAAGTAGATAATAAATTCCTTGGTGTTCCTTGTTACATAAATTCCTTGTTATCATTGATAACAAGCTGAATTTCCAGGGCTACATTGAAAATATAGCAAAAAAAAAAAAAGTTTCTAAACTAGTTGGCATTTTTTCTCAAATTAAATACTGTATTATGTCCCTCGCCCTGCTCAGGTAACTCTCTGTTACTCTCTCATCTATCCTTATCTCAATTATGGTATCTGTGCTTGGGGTTCTACTACCCAAAATCATCTACGTCCTCTAATTACTCAACACAAATCTGCTATTAGAACAATAACAAACTCTGGCCCCAGACAGCACTCGGCCCCCTTACTTAAATCTTTGAATATGTTAGATATTAAGTCACTGCACATCCTCTCAAGTGTACTCTATATATTTAAAACTCTGAACTGTAATGCCAATCCTGACCTTAAACGCTTCCTAGAAGGTTGTAACAGAACCCATGGGCACCACACTAGAAACAAATACCTATTTGATATTCCAAGAGTGCGACTTAACCAAACTAGAAATGCTCTGCAAATCAAGGGACCCAGAATGTGGAATGACCTTCCCAATCATGTCAAAGACTGTCCCTCTCTCAACCAGTTTAAGAGAAAAACTAAGTACTACCTAATAAACTCCATGTAACCTACCTTACCTCCTAAATGTCAACCTATGTCTTGCTATTTTCAAACAATATTGATTATTGACCAACTTGTATAACTGCTGATATCTGCCATGTATAAACTTAAAGAAAATTGTAGTCTTCTGTTTATTTAGTTAAAATTACTTCTGCTGTTCTGTTTCAATTTCTGCTGTTCCATCCATCATGTATTATTATAATTTTTGTTTCTTTTTTCCCCTTTTCAATTCAATTTATGCTTTTGATCTCAATTAGTTTTAAGTTTTTTTCCCACATCTTGCCCAAAACGCTGTGCGTGTTAGTGGCTTTAGGCAAAATATGTACTAGCTATATCTAGAAATCCAACATTCTGTTTGTAACTCATTTTGAATGTATGTACAGTACTTTTACCTGAATAAACATTAAATTTTCTGAGATTGTACCCTTTTGCCTCGAAGCACAATAAAACTAAAACAAATCCATTAAATATATGTAAGCCTATAGCAATTAGGCAACACATTCATCAGTTTCAACAAATGAAGTCCAGCCTCATCATAATTACAATTTATACACAATATTTCTCACGTTTACAAGACAGGGAGGCACTTAATAGTAGGAAGATGAGTCCCCAGTCCCAAATCATCTTCCATTTTATTGTGGAGGGTGTAGAGGGCTTTTATAAGTGAGCAGTGAGCATTCCACTGCCACCATTGAATCATATCAATAAATGGAACAAATGAACAAAATTATGGATATAAAACATGGTAACTAAATTAAAAAATGCTGCTAAAACTACTTAAAAAACGAATGGCCAGATTATTCAAATACTGTACTGATAAAAACATTATTAGAAATACAGTATGTACAATAATCTATTTTGGACTTGTTACATATGAACTTACAGTGACCTCCATCTCTTGTGTACTTGTCAGGTTGAGCATGACCAATGTGACCACCACTTTGCCGATTAAATTCTGCCTGGATAGCCAAGTATGGATCTCTCATCACTAACACAGCTCGGGAAAATGTTTTCCGTATCTGGGGAAAATGGATAAAACAAATAAAAATTCCCTTGTCTCAGATGTCTTAATTATAATGCCCTTAGACCTAGGCTTCTTATTTATAGACTCTATAATTAAAAATTATAGATTCTGGAATGGAATTTACACATTCACCAAAAGATTTGAATAGTTGAAACCCAGTTGTTCATGGAGAGACTTCACCATTTGCCCTTCTCCTTCAGTACAGTGTAAGAAATGAGAACAATTGCCTATATTACATGAACAACTGTTTATTTCTGTATGAGTCACCAATACCAATGAATCATGTTTATTTCTGGGGGGGGGCCCCGTCGGCTCCCCGGAGCTTTACCGGCTGATATGCTAATGTCAGACTTTGGCATCAGTCATGTGTATGGAGTTTCAGGGCCTACCGGGGACCACGGCCAGAACCTGGCCCCTCAGAACCTGGAGGCAAGGGGAGCAATGGCCTATAGAAACCCCCGTGTGGTAGGAAGCATTCAATGTCTGCCATCGACCGGGTCAAGCATCCAGAAAGGTAAGCATTCCAAAACAAACCCCTATTCTGGTGAAAATTGCTACCAAAAGCCGAATTAGTGGATAGAACTCTTCAACAGAAAACAAGGAAACTAGTATGACGTCATACGTCACCGCGCCGTTGTCTGCGCAGCTCCCCCCTCCCCGGGAGGGGGAAGGGGGAGCCCCAGACCTCCCACGCTGGCTATCCACCCATCAGTTCTTCGGCTGATGCTATAGGCACCGGTTATGTGGTCCGGCTCCAGTGGTTGTTTCAGCACTGTACCTTGAGTGTGGTGTCTGTTTTCTAGGTGGTGCGTGAGCCGGGAGTGATTCTCCAGTACTCGGGCTGCATGCGCCTAGGGTTCCCTTCCCTAGGTGCCCTGTAAGTACTGCCCTTGGGGCTTGGGGCCGCCTTCCACAAGTTCCTTGGGTCCTGCCCCTGCTTGGCCGTTTACTGCTTGGTTTTCGGCTGCTCTTTGCGTGCTCGGGTGTTCTGTCTCCCTTGTTCGCCTTAGAGTAAGGGGCAGTTTTTGCATTGGTTGGGTGCAGGGTACTGTGCAGCTTGTCTTTACCAATCATAGCGGCCGGCTCTGTTCCGCTTGGGTACGCTGTCCTCTTGCGGGGTTTTCTTTTTCTTTTTGTTTATCTACCTGGTGGGGGGTCTGCCTTCGTTCCATCTCCTTGTGCCGCCTGGGTTTCGGTGGTCGCGCCTGAGATCTTCCCGCGGCTCCGCCTTTTCCTGGGCTCGGAAGGGCCTTGTCGGGGCTGCTTATGTTCTGCCTCGCGGTCTCGCCTCCGGTTGGTGGTTGGGTGGCTAAGTGGTAGGTGTCCCATCTGCGTGCTTCTCTTGGCGGCAGTATGGAGTATTTTGGCGGTCCTTCCTTTTCTTGTCCCTTCTTCGGTGGTTACTCTTGTTAGCTTGGTTTACTCTCGGCTTGGTTTTCTGGTGGGGGTTGGGGGCCGTCGTCTTGTCACATACTGTCGCCTCTTTTCGTGTGGCGCTGGCGGAGCCGCTTCAGCTTGCTTTCGGTCTTGGTGTTGCTTCTGCATCGTTAGTAAGCTGCCTTGTGCGTTGTTTCACCTCCGGCCTGTTCATGCGCCGCTTGCACCATCCTGGTCTCTGGTCAGCGTGCTCTGTCTTCTCCTCGGTTGGTAGTGCCCCTTCGGTTCCGGTGTGATTTTTCGTCGGCTCTTTCCTTTTGGCCTTTGCCTCTGGGGGTCGAGTCGCTGGGTTTTCTTGCTCCTTCGGTTTTAGCGTTTTGGTTGTTCGGTGGCAGCAGTCTCCATCTTTTCTGGCGCGGGGTGGGGCTGCTGCGTTCTGGAGGGGTCCAGGGTTGTTGGTGCTTCGTTGGTCGGGCCGGGGGTGTGTCGTGTTTTGTGTTCAGTGGCGGCCCTCCGCTGTTGTTTGCGTGCCACGGCGTTTGGGTCCGGAGCGCATTTTGCGTTGATCCGGTTCTGTTCTTCCCGGTTTGCGGGTGATGGTGTCCCGGGTGGTCAGCCATGTTCTTGCGGCTAAGCTGCCTGTGTTCTTCCCTCATGCCTGTGGCGTTCGTGGCTTCGCTGCCGTCTGGGCGACGTGGCCTTGTGGTCTTTCGGGCATGGTTTTTTGGTGTTCGTGCGGGGGCCCTTGCTGCTTGTTGTTCTCGTGTTGTTCCCAGGGCTTTTCGGGGCTGTGGCGCCTTGGGTTGGCGTTTGCTGCCGGTTGTCTCACTTCCGTGGGGGGGGGGGGGTGCGTGGTGTCCGCCTCTCGGTTCTGTCCCTTTGACCTTCCTCTATGGGTAGTTAGCTCCGGGAAGCCGACGGGGCTCCCCCCAGAAAACCAGCGTTGAATGTAATGAAACGCCATTTTCTGGGCGAGACCTGGAGGCTCCCCGGCAACCCTCCCTCCCTCCCTCCGGTCGGCGTTTTTTCGCGTGTTTTGACATCCAGCCTCAGAACTGATGGGTGGATAGCCGGCGTGGGAGGTCTGGGGCTCCCCCTTCCCCCTCCCGGGGAGGGGGGAGCTACGCAGACAGCGGCGCGGTGACGTATGACGTCATACTAGTTTCCTTGTTTTCTGTTGAAGAGTTCTATCCACTAGTTCGGCTTTAGGTAGCAATTTTCACCAGAATAGGGGTTAGTTTTGGAATGCTTACCTTTCTGGATGCTTGACCCGGTCGATGGCAGACATAGAATGCTTCCTACCACACGGGGGTTTCTATAGGCCATTGAGCTCCTTGCCTCTCTGAGGGGGCCAGGTTCTGGCCGTGGTGCCCGGTAGGCCCTAGAACTCCATACACATGACTGATGCCAAAGTCTGACATTAGCATATCAGCCGGTAAAGCTCCGGGGAGCCTCCGGGTCTCGCCCAGAAAATGGGGTTTCATTACATTCAACGCTGTTTTTTTTAACTATCTACATATAAATGTCTTTAAATGCTTAAATATAGAATTTTGTGGACAGAACACAATAGAATTTTACAGAATTTCTGAAAGACCACCTTAAGTACAATACATATAGTATTTTGGTCAAGTGTTAATAAAGATGGGACTGAGTGGCATAAAATGCTTCTTTCAGAGCAGGCTTTTTTGTTACTCCATGAGTCAAAGCCGACAATCCACTCAGGATAGTCTGATGTAGTGGCGGCTTGTGGAAACAGACTGGAGAGACTGCAATTCCGTCGTACAGCATGAAATCTCTATATTTGTCTCATAATTAATAAAAAAATAAAAAATAAATCAGTTATACTTATATATATATATATAAATTTATATATACGTATACATATACATACACACATATGATACGTATATATATATATATATATATATATATATATATATATATATATATATATATATATATATATATATATATATATATATACATATATATACATATATATACATATATATACATATATATACATATATATACATATATATATATATATATATATATATATATATATATATATATATATATATATATATGTCGTACCTAGTAGCCAGAACGCACTTCTCGGCCTACTATGCAAGGCCCGATTTGCCTAATAAGCCAAGTTTTCCTGAATTAATATATTTGCTCTCATTTTTTTCTTATGAAATGATAAAGCTACCCATTTCATTAGGTATGAGGTCAATTTTTTTTTATTGGAGTTAAAATTAACGTAGATATATGACCGAACCTAACCAACCCTACCTAACCTAACCAATCATCCCATTGGTCTTCTTCCAAAATAATCTTTCCTGCCTCTACTCTACACAGATGCCGTCTTGTTGAATCGGCTCTTATTAACAATGTACCCAACATGAACTTGAGTCCTGGCTTTGTTGCTGTGGACTCTTCCCTTTCACAGTATATACTCAAATGCTCTAATCTTTCTAACAAACGTGACTTAACATAAGCTTTCCCCCTTCCATTTCTTTCTTTCTCTTTCCCTTTCTTTCTCTCTTCTCCCTTTTTCTGTCTTCTACGCTCCCTTGCTATCCTCTTCTTATTCCTATTACTATCTCCTTCGGTGGTTATAATAGGAGCTGCCTCGTATGGGCCAATAGGCCTGCTGCAGTTCTCATTACTACTATCCCCTACACCTGACTTTCCTCCTCAGCTCTCTCTTGCTTATTTAATGCCTGTCCCTACCTGTCCTCATCACAATCGACTTGAGAATGGTCCAGGACGGTCCGAAACGTCGTCGTCCCTTCAATTTCTAGTGTGTGGTCTAGTCAACTAACCTAACCTATCTTTATAGGTTAGGTTAGGTTAGGTAGCCGAAAAAGTTAGGTTAGGTAGGTTAGGTAGTCGAAAAAAACATTTTCATGAAAACTTGGCTTATTAGGCAAATCGGGCCTTGCATAGTAGGCTGAAAAGTGCATTCTGGCTACTAGGTACGACATATATATATATATATTGAAAAATCTACGGTGCCATCAGTATAATAGGTTACCAACCTCTGGTCCCCACTCATGTGTCTTGACCACCACAACCGACCCATTAGAGACAGACTCGGCTGGAAACCCATTTTTCATGAGGGCATAGTCCTTGTAAACACTTCCCGAATAATAACCAGTCACCTGTTAAATATCAGAATAACAAATTATTAACATCTTTCGCTTGTACAGATTTTAGGACAAAAATTTTAATTTAAAAGAATAAGAAGTTAACTCTTCCTCCGTCCCCCTGAAAGGTGAATTCCCCTTAAAGAAAAAAAACTGACCGCCGAAGATGGTCAGTGGCGGCTTTTGAGGCAAGACTCACCTGCTGGAGTAGGTATCTGATCCAGGTGTTGCCGGAGCCAGGGAAGGATACAAGAGCAGTAGCAGGTCCAGGAGGGTCCCGCCACCGCAGGGCTTGACACCAAGGGAGTCGAGCTCCTCGACCCCCGCGCCGGGACGTCCACGCCCACGTGCCTCCTGCCTATGGATTACAGTATTCATTTGAACCTTGCTTTTGTTTACTCTTAATAAATGAGTAAGTAATAAGTTTATGGTGACATTACACCTGCTTGATTGAAATCCAGCCTATGGATTACAGTATTCATTTATACCTTGCTTTTGTTTACTCTATAAATGAGTAAGTAAGTTTTATGGTAACATTACACCTGTTTGATTGAAATCCGACGAGGCTAGACTATGTTATGGGAGAGTTTTTTGCCGTACGCTTCCTAGCTCATGTACGCTTAGGAAATTGCAAACTACAATGACGTGTACGTAATGATGTACATTATGTCACTGCCTATGTAATAAACAAGTCTAATAATATATATTTTTTTAGATGGAAAATAGAGGAAAGGCACGTTGGAGGATGGAGACAAAATCTTCCTAAGGCCTTATTAGGAAGATGAGCCGAGTATAACCTGCACTGGCTATTATAGAATAGTCTTCTAATGATAGGTTGTAATTTCTGTAGCGTCATCGGTCTATATGTAGTACCTAATAGCCAGAGTTGCCTAACAAGACGAATTTTTGTAAGATATTTATTTTTTCCAACAAACTTTCTAATGAAATTATATGGTTTTCATTGTATTATATATATGATTGTAATTTTGGCGAGTCAAAACTAACATAGAAATTTGATCAAACCTAACCTATCCAAACCTTCCATAATCTAATATAACTAGGTCGGTAATTCATGTTCCTAATAAAATGTATTATTGTTAGAAAAGAACCAATCTGGAAATAAATATTTGAAAATAACGAAAACCATTCGGCCTGTTATGCACATCGGACCTTTCATACTTGGCCATGTAGTGCAGTTCTGGCTATTAGGCACAACATACAGACTGCCACTTAATTAAATTAATTGTGAAACAAAACTAGCAGCTGTTTTTTATTTGCTCTGCATATATAAATAAATATTTCACATTTTTCCCTTTCTTTAATTTTTTCCTTTGTTAGAAATTTTGTAGTAGTTTGAGAATTTATATAGCTTTTCTTTGTCTCCTACCTTGAGGCTACCTTGAGGTGCTTCCGGGGCTTAGTGTCCCCGCGGCCCGGTCGTCGACCAGGCCTCCTGGTTGCTGGACTGATCAACCAGGCTGTTAGACGCGGCTGCTCGCAGCCTGACGTATGAGTCACAGCCTGGTTGATCAGGTATCCTTTGGAGGTGCTTATCCAGTTCTCTCTTGAACACTGTGAGGGGTCGGCCAGTTATGCCCCTTATGTGTAGTGGAAGCGTGTTGAACAGTCTCGGGCCTCTGATGTTGATAGAGTTATCTCTCAGAGTACCTGTTGCACCTCTGCTTTTCAACGGGGGTATTCTGCACATCCTGCCATGTCTTCTGGTCTCATGTGGTGTTATTTCTGTGTGCAGGTTTGGGACCAGCCCCTCAATTATTTTCCACGTGTAAATTATTATGTATCTCTCCCGCCTGCGCTCAAGGGAGTACAGATTTAGGCTCTTTAGTCGGTCCCAGTAATTTAGATGTTTTACTGAGTGGATTCTAGCAGTAAAGGATCTCTGCACGCTCTCTAGGTCAGCAATTTCTCCAGCTTTGAAAGGGGCTGTCATTGTGCAGCAGTACTCCACTCTAGATAGCACAAGCGTTTTGAAAAGTATCATCATCGGTATAGCATCTCTAGTGTGAAAAGTTCTTGTTATCCAACCTGTCATTTTTCTTGCAGTTGTGACGGCTACTTTATTGTGTTCTTTAAAGGTAAGGTCTTCCGACATGAGTACACCCAGGTCCTTTACATTGCCTTTTCGTTCTATGTTATGATTTGCCTGCGTTTTGTACGTGGTTTCTGTTTTTATATTTTCAATTTTTCCGTATCGCATGAGCTGAAACTTATCCTCGTTGAATACCATATTATTTTCTGTAGCCCATAGAAAGACCTGATCTACATCTGATTGGAGGTTTGCCGTGTCCTCTATGTTGCCAACTCTCATGAAAATCCTAGTGTCATCTGCAAAGGATGATACAGTGCTATAGGTTGTGTTCTGGTCTATGTCCGATATGAGGATGAGAAAAAGTACTGGAGCAAGCACAGTACCCTGGGGGACTGAGCTCTTCACGGTTGATGGGCTGGATTTTATTTTGTTGACTATTACACATTGGGTTCTGTCAGTCAGGAAATTGTAGATCCATCTGCCTATTTTCCCGGTAATTCCTTTTGAACGCATTTTATGTGCAATAACACCATGGTCACATTTATCAAAAGCTTTTGCGAAATCTGTGTAAATTACATCAGCGTTTTGTTTGTCTTCCATAGCATCTAATGCCATATCATAGTGGTCCAGCAACTGCGACAGGCAAGAGCGCCCTGTTCTGAAACCATGTTGTCCGGGGTTATGGAGATGCTGTGATTCCATGTATTTTGTGATCTTACTTCTTAGCACTCTCTCAAAAATTTTTATGATGTGCGATGTTAGTGCTATCGGTCTGTAATTTTTTGCCTCTGCCTTATTTCCTCCTTTATGGAGTGGTGCTATCTCTGCTGTTTTTAGTATGTCAGGGATAACGCCAGTATCTAGACTTTGTCTCCACAGAATGTGAAGGGCCTGCGATAGTGTTTTTTTACAGTTCTTGATGAATATGGAGTTCCAAGAATCCGGGCCTGGTGCAGAGTGCTTAGGCATACTGTTTATGGCTTCTTCAAAATCTAGTGGGGATAGGGCGACGTCTGATATGTGATTTGATGTTGGTATCATATCCATGAAAAATTCATTTGGGTTATCAATCTTTAGTGCATTTAATGGCTCACTGAAAACAGAGTCGTACTGCTTCCTCAGTAACTCGCTCATTTCTTTGTTGTCATCTGTGAAAGTTCCATCTCCCTTTCGCAGGGGCCCGATACTAGATGTGGTTTTTGATCTTGATTTTGCATAGGAGAAAAAATATTTCGGATTTCTCTCTATTTCAATGATGGCCTTTTGCTCTCTTTGCCTCTCCTGGGTTTTGTATGATTCTTGTAGCTTGAGTTCAATTGTTTCTATTTCTCTACCTAACCTTCTTCGCCGTTCTTGAGATAGGGTGCGACTCTCAAGTTGTTCCGCGATTCGTTTTCTTCGCCTATATAGGGAACGACGTTCCCGTTCCAATCTGCATCTCTTTCTCTTTTTTCTTAGGGGTATGCGGTTTGAACATATTTCTAGTGCTACTGAGCTTATTTTTTCCAGGCACTGGTTCAGGTTTGCATTTCCTAGCTGTTCTTCCCAGTTTATTTCTGTGAAGTCCTGGTTTATTTGCTCCCAGTTTATCCGTTTATTATTGAAGTTGAATTTGCTGAAATCTCCTCCACCGGGAATCTGGACTGGTTTTGAAGGTCCATTTCCCATGGTTGTCAGAACTTCAATTAAGTTGTGATCTGAGTAACAGGTATTTGTAATCATTATGTTCCCGATCAACTCATCATTATTGGTGAAAATGAGGTCCAGCGTGTTCTCCTTCCTAGTTGGTTCTCCTATTTGCTGGTTTAAGGCAAACCTATCGCACATCCGTAGCAGGTCATTTGCATGTGCCTGCTCATTTAGGCTACTTCCTGGTATTCTTTCTGATATTACTGTATTAGCCAGGTGCTTCCATTTCAGGTGCCGTAGGTTGAAGTCCCCAAGCAGGATGATGTTCGGAGCTGGATTTGTGAGGTTTTCCAAGCAGTGCTCTATTTTCATTAGTTGGTCTTTAAACTGCTGAGGGTTTGCCTCCGGTGACTTATATACAAGGACAACAACTACATTTAGGATCTCTATTTTGACTATCAGCACTTCCACCATATCATTTGAGGTGTTTAGCAGCTCAGTACAGATGAGTGTGTCTTTGATGTAGAGGCTGACCCCACCCTGAAGCCGGTGTTTCCTATCACATCCGAAGAGATTGTATTCTGGGATCCATATTTCACCATCAAGGTAGTCCTTTGTGTGAGTTTCCGTTAGGGCTGCAAACACTGCTACTTATAAAATCCTAAACAATCCTACTTATAAAACCTAAATAACTAATTTGTAAGAGTCCAAGTCTGGGAAAAAGAATGATATATTTGCACATATATCATTGGTGACTTTCAAAGCTGGTGACTTTCCACAGACAGTGAAGGAACCCTGCAACTGGCAGTGAATGTCTGAAACAAATATGGGTTATTGCAAATTCTTTGACATACAATTTGAAAGGCACGACAGGAATGTGATATACACCAGCTAGTTTTGCCACTAACTTGGAACATGCCAGAGCACGGAATGATGACAATGAGCGGGTGAGAGTATATAAGATTGGTATTTTTACATTCATGCAAAACCACAAACACGAATAGGGGTTTGGGCAGGTCCTTAATCTAACATATCAGGTAAAAAGGTGAAAAGGTACATTGTGGCAAGGTTTTATATCAACAAATAACTACAATATGAATTGACAGAGGTGATTACACTGGGTGTAACCTTTGGGTTAGTGATTGAGATAGTGTGTTGTGAAAATGGTTACAGCATTGTGGGAGGGGCGTGTGTCGGTGGAGAAGGGGGGAGGAGAGTGTTTGTGATGAGGAGACTTAGGAAAGATACCTTACCTTGAGGTTACCTTGAGGTGCTTCCGGGGCTTAGCGTCCCCGCGGCCCGGTCGTCGACCAGGCCTCCTGGTTGCCGGACTGATCAACCAGGCTGTTGGACGCAGCTGCTCGCAGCCTGACGTACGAGTCACAGCCTGGTTGATCAGGTATCCTTTGGAGGTGCTTATCCAGTTCTCTCTTGAACACTGTGAGGGGTCGGCCAGTTATGCCCCTTATGTGTAGTGGAAGCGTGTTGAACAGTCTCGGACCTCTGATGTTGATAGAGTTCTCTCTCAGAGTACTAGTTGCACCTCTGTTTTTCAACGGGGGTATTCTGCACATCCTGCCATGTCTTCTGGTCTCATGTGATGTTATTTCTGTGTGCAGGTTTGGGACCAGCCCCTCTAATATTTTCCACGTGTAAATTATTATGTACCTCTCCCGCCT